CCTATCAGGTACTTATGTTTGAGGATGAAAGTTGTTACTCCTCTTTTGGAGTAGATTAGAGAGGCATAGACTGAGGCAATGAATGAGGAACATCGGAAGAGCAAACGAATCGTGGGCCAGGTTTCCTCTTTTGATTGTGACCGATAGGGAGTATGAACTTTTCATAGGAGGATTTGGGTTCCTTATCTGAATGGGACTCGGAAAACCTTGATAGAGGAGGCTCACAAATCGAGATTTTCGATTCATCTTGGTGCGATGATGATGTACAAGGATCTCATACTTGATTATTGGTTATATGAAACGGGATGTGGCATGTTATGTGGAGAGGTGCTTGAATTTCCAAAAAGTCAATGCCTAGCATCAAAGGTATCACCAGAAAGTTGCAACCGTTGGATATTCCATGTGGAAATGAGAGCACATATTCGTGGATTTCATCACTAATATACCAAGGATGGCGCATGGAGTGGATTCTATTTGGTTCATTGTGGATAGATTGACCAAGAGTGCTCACTGCATCCCTATCCAGGAGAGTATTTTGCTGAGAAGCTAGCATATATTTACATTAGGAAGGTAGTTGCACGGCATGGACTATCTGTTTTAGTAATTTCTAACCGAGATGTTTGCTTCACTTCCAGGTTTTGGAAGAAATTTCATGAGGATTTGGGTACTTAGCTACATTTCAGCATGGCTAATCACCCTCGGACAGAAGCGATAGGACTGTTTAGATACCTGAGGACATGCTTAGGGCTTACATATTAGATTTTGGTGGGAGCTAGGATACTTATCTTCCTTTGGATGAGTTCTCGTACAACAACATTTATCACGCTAGTATTGATCGACCTCCATTTGAGATGCTCTACAGGAGGACGAATCGGACCCCGATTAGTTGGGGCGAGGTCGTACAATGAGTGATAGGGAATACTAAGGTAGCACTCAAGAATACTTAGTTGATTCAGCTGGTACGAGGTAGCTTGTAGACCGCACAGAGTCACTAGAAGAGTTACGTTGATGGGCGACGTTCCGATCTCGAGTTTCAGGTTAGATATTTTGTGTTTCTGAAGGAGTTGCATTGGAAATGTGTCATCCGGTTCTACAAGAGGGGCAAGTTAGGCCCTGGATTCATTAGCCCGTTTAGAGTTATCACCCGGGTGGGAAAGGTTAGGTATCGATTGGATCTACCCGCCGAGCTTAGTCAGATTCACAGCATATTTCATGTCTCTCAGCTGCAGAAGTGTTTGGCGGATGATTACATAACAGTTTACTTGGATTACATTCAAGTTGATGAGCGCATGAATTATATAGAGAGACCAGTTGCGATTCTTGACAAGAAGAGGAAGACCTTGCACAACAAGGTAGTGGGTTTGGTGAAGGTGCAGTGGAAGCATTAGAAGGGTTTTTATATGAACCCAATCGAGGATGAGATGAGGAAGCATTACCCAGAGTTATTTGCAGCAACGGATTTCGAGGACGAAATTTGATTCAAGTGGGGGGAGAGTTGGGACATATGTTTTCCAGGTATGTTTTTTCCGAGTTTATTTTATTTAAATATAACTTTTGGGATTTTGTCTTGGCCACGACATGGTCATGGGGTGACCACAATGTGGAATTTTCAGTTCAATAAATACGTATTCACGAGGCACCATGACGTGGAAAAGCATTCGCCACGACGTGGTGACGGTTAGGGTTCAAAACCCTAAATTTTGGGATTTTTTTCCCTATTTAAAGGCACTAACTCTTAGGGTTGCCTCATTTGGCATCCTTCATCATATGAAATCGATCCCCATCCAAACCTTACCCTTTAAATGTGTGTTTTGAGTGTGTGAAGCCACTTTTGTGAAGCTTGAAGGAAAATGGAGTCCGCCTTGTTAGTTGTGTGCATGGTTCCAGCTTAGATCCAACATCTTTACCATATTTCTTGCCTTTTGGAGGTACAAAGTCTCAACCTTGATCATTACTTCTCTAGATCTTGTTCTAGGTCATTTTATGAGCTTTTTGGTCCCAATCTTCTTGCTGTTGGAGTTTAAGTGAACTCCAGAGCCTTTGACTGCATTATTTGCCTTCTAGACCATAGTGTTGGTTGGAAAGTGGTCTTGCATGACTTAGTTTGGTATCCATGCATTTGGTGCAACAATTAAGAACTTAGGTTTAAACATCTTGACTTATTGGGGTGTCTTAATGTATAAATTTGGAAACTTTATCCATCAAAACCTTGATGAGGTTCGGATCTGAGCTTTGGACCTCTTAAGATTGGGGGTTAAGTGCTTAATCCATTAAGTTGTCCATGTGCAGTTGCCACGACGCGGTGACATGCTTGCCACGACATGGTGGTTTGTCTGGTCGCGACTGTTTTGTCGTGAAGCTGCCACGACGTGGCGAATGGATGGCCACGACATGGAGGTCAGATGTGGGTTGACTTTGACCGTTGACTTTATTTGAGTAAGTTGACTTTTGGTCAATTTGCTAGCTTTAGATTGTAGACTAAGGTTTGACCTTGGGTGTTTCTTTAGGTGGGTTGTAGCACTAGTTTCTCGACTATACGAGCTGTTGTATATTCAATTCAAGTGTGATGTGAGTTTTCTCACTATATTGTGTAGGATGCTAGATTGCCTTTGTGATTCTTGCATTAATGTTGGGCAGGGCCCATTATGTATGTTGGGTTAGGCCCGATATATTAGTCGGATGGGGCCCGTTATACTCTTGGGTGGGGCTAGCTATGTTTGTGGGCATGGATGGATGTATGGTTATGTATTATTTTGAGGAACTCATTAAGTTTTATGCCTACAGTTTTATGTTTAAATGGTTCAGCTACTTCTGGTTCAAAAGGGAAGGGTCCGACATGATCGCACAACATCTCCTTGAGTTTTATTTCGCACGATCTTTTATGATTTACTCTAATGTTGGAGAATACATTACACTCTGACTATCTTTTGAACAAATAAATAAATGTTTTGGTTGTTTAAAAATGTAATTTTTACTTGGTATTTTTGGGACGTTACACAAGTTACATACTTTTTGAGCATCTTCAAACACTTTTAAATATTTCTTTAAGCTGTTGGGTGTGGGCAACGCCCATGGGGGCGTTTTTGCACGTTATAACGGCGCAAACACCACCCCACCTTCCCGTTTTTGCGCGTTATTAGCTTGCACGTTACTTTTCGTTACCACCACAATATTCTATAATGTCCGTTTTCTTCTTTTTTCTTCAAAAAACGTCGGTGTGGGTTGCCCACTCCGACCAGTCTTACTGTTAAACAACTAAAACACTAACTTTCTTCCAATCACATATCTTGGATTTTGACTGCTTTATCCTTCAAATTATTTACAATCAACATTTACAATTATTCAATGATCCTAAGATCTTGGGCGAGCACAAGATCTTAAGCATTTCTCAGAATCTTAAACATTTAACAATTTTCTTTAATAAAAACACCAAACCATACTTCTTAATTTAGTTACAGAATTAATTTATTGATTTTTGACCAAAACAGTAATGTACATGATTATGAATATCATAGCTTAGATAAGTAGGGTTGTCATGACATGGAGAATGGAGATTTACAACCATTATTAAATCTAATTATTAGTTAACATCAAAAGAAAACTTATAAAGTAAAGTTTATGATAAGTGTCACTAAAATAAACTAACAATAAATAAACAAACATCACTAATTGTATGGAAAATAGAAAATAGATATGAAGGTATTCATACGAATGACTTCTATAAATTCCATTTATTTGAAATAAATAAGAAACTTTTTCAATTTTCTAATATAAAGTAACAACAAAAATAAAACCTATTTAGTATGAAAAGTTGTACCAATTATTGATACTATAATATTTTGTACTATGGTCGTTAATTTGTGGATCTGCAACTAAGTCGATGTCACAAATTAAAAACGGAAGGTATAGTTAAATAAACGAATTTCATAAAATTAATTTGGTTAGTAGAGTGCACCTTTGTTTACGAGTAAATAACTTTATGTTCTTTATTTATCGGAAATAATTTTCATAGGTTATTTGAAGTTAAAATATCTAATTAGAAAATTTTATTAGTTTTTTATGAAATTTAATCCACTCAAATTATTTTCAAATAAATATAAGTGAAAAGTTTAGAGTCATAGATGGAGTAAAACATGGGTGTTTAATTATGGCATGTGGGTAACTAAGAAACATATGAACATGTTTACTGATGTCACAACTTGACGCGAGAATCTATTCTCATAATAACATTTCCTTTTGTTTTAGTTAATTTTTTAAACAAAATGTTTAACATTCCATCGATCATTTATAATAATAATTCTTCTAATTTTAACAGAAAAGTGCATATCAATAGTTTTTAAATAAAATACGGTCATCAATTATTCAAAATGGGAAGAAGATTGACGAAACATGATTAGGTTATCAACGTATTAATTAAGTTTGTCATTTCACGTGAAAATTCAATAGCTTCGATTATTTCCTTTTAGGGTTTTTATGTAGGCCATGAACACCCATGTGAGTCCATGTGCAGTGTCTTTTATTTTATTTATTTTGAATATATAATGCCTTAACTTCAACTCCATTCTCATTCATCTCTCAACTTCTTCATTTTAACACTTTTGTTAGATCCCTCTGCAACTGCAATTAACCATACCTTGCTTTTGGCGTTGCATGCAATATAAGATTTGAAGAATTAAAGGTACTTGAATACTAATGAATTGGCTTTTTTTTTTTCTTGAGGTTTTAATTCAAAAGTTTCATGTTTATCTTGTTATGAAGAAAGACTCAAGAAGGTAATTTTGTAAACGCGTTAGTTACTTCTGGCCGGTGGGAGTATATACCCCGATCTCTCAATATATGAAGTAAATTGTTTTCAGTGTATAACTAAAATGATGTTTGTGGTTATTAATTGTATTGTTGTAATTTCTAGGTTAAGAATGCAATCTTCAAGCTCGCTAAAGAAAGAATTTATGAACAAATGGATTGAGGGTTTTCATATGTGTGTTTCTTCAAAGAAGCAAATGAACCTCATAGAGAAAACGAAGAAAATAAAGCTTTCTGCAGATATTGCCATGGCTTCTGCAAAAAGGACAGAAACCTTATGGAGTAATGCACTACTTTCCGACGCTAGGAAAAACGAAAAAGACATGATACTTGTGGACAAAATGTTAGGTCCTGAATCGCAGTTGAAGCTACTGAAGAGCACAGATAGAATGATCATGAGTTACCATAAGAGGGTTCGATGCAAAAAAATCTTGAAAACAAGTCGTGAAAGTGCTGGTAAAAGAATGAAAAAGGCTATGATGGGGATTCCTCGATCGAATTTAGCTATTATTATTGCAAAAAGATTGGTGAAGAAAAAGACTAAAATGCTTAAAAGACTTGTGCCAGGTGGACAGTCCATGGATGAATTCTCCCTCATACAAGAAGCATTAGATTACATTCTTTCTCTTAAGGTACAGGTTGATGTGATGAGGAGTGTTGTTAATGCAACTGAGGTTTTACGCCATGATAAATTGCTGAAATCAGTTGAATAAAGAAAACATACACCTTGAAAAAAAAATCATGTACAGGTAGCTAGGTAATACAGCACCTCTAGTTGCTTAATTTCTTTGTGTTCTTTTATTTTTATATTTTACCATGGTATTGACATATTTCCCCTGATTAAGTAGTCCGTTGCAAAATCTTTCATTCTTATGAACGAGAACAAAAGCACGACCTCCAATGAAATCATAACATGTTATATATATATATATATATATATATATATATATATATATATATATATATATATATATATATATATATATATATATATATATATATGGCTCAATTGTCAATTGCTTGGTGTTAGCACCTTTAGCTTTTGCTTTGTTAATTTTTTATGTAATCACGTTAAACACCGTGGCGACTAGTGATCCTTGTTTCCAAAATACAAAGTCCAAGTACATATTAGTACTAGTGCCTGAGGGTATTTTTTTTTTCTTTTTTTCATGGAGTTATAACATGACGTATGCTTATATCTACCCTACTCCTTTGGTTTTTGAGTTTGCCACATCAAGAAACAACAACAAACCTGAAATCATTACAAAATATAGCCTATTTGATGATCTCTGTCCTAAAGCCTAAACTGAAGTGTTTGACTTCCACGATTGGAGTCTTTAAATGTTGGAATTTTTAGACAAAACGTTCACGATCCCATAACCAAACTACGCAAGTGAACCGATACCAACAACTAAATAAACTAAATGGATCAAATTTGGCAAACCATGTAATTCCCAAAACAATTACAACCGAAATAAAAATAACCATGAAACCACAGGGATTTGAAGGTCTACCATACTATAATGAAATATCATGTATCATATAATCTTACAAATTTTATTATAAGTATAGTTTAGTCAATTATACTATATATATAAAAAAGAAAATTTTTAGATTTTAGAGGATAATTAATTCTCTTAATTAAAAAAATACTTTTTCAAAAATTAATTCAATTTCAATTTTATCATAGTTTTAATACTAATTGGATTTTATTATGTTACAATGATATTCTGTGATAATTGTCCATTAAAACAAAAAATTCTCCAAGAATTAGTGACATATAACATAGCATTCCAATAATGTAAAAGATATTCTGATAGAATTTGTGAACACTTTTATGACAACGAACTTACATACAATTAGAAAATAAAATACATCTAAACAATAAAAATCATAAAAAAACATTCATGAAATTCTTGAAAGATTCCCCTATCCTTTTTGGTGCGTTTCCAACATGTATGTAATCAAGCATAAAAACAAAGCTTTATTTTTTAATTAATATTTAGTCATTCTTCAAATCTTTCGCAAAAAATTGTCATTCTAGAAAGAATCTCCGTTCACATTCTTGGTTAGTTTTTAAATGTCTTGTGTATGTTTGACCCCTAAACCACTTCAAAATACCCTGGCATTTTGTCATAATGATATTCTGTCATAATGATATTCTGTCTGAATAACATTACGCATGGAGTTGTAGAAGGAAATGAACTCAATGATGGCAAGCAATCTATAGGTAAAGCTTGAAACACCTGAAAAAACATGTAGAACAGAAGTCATGATAAAATATTAGCCAATTGCAAGAACCACCAAGACAACTTTAAAAAGCTCAATATAATTCCAAAAGAATCATTCTTATATGAATGTCATAATATAATACTCTATACATATTATTCTAATAGAATAATACACTTTCTGTGGAACAAGGTGAAAACTTATGTTAATTATATGTTCTTAAATTGAAGAAATTTGATTTATAAATATGGAGGTTAATTGGAAGTTGCAGCTATTAATGATGGAAAAAAAATTCTTGAGTGGGACGAGACTATTTTAAATTCCTATACACCTAAAACTCTTATTAGCAGAAATTCAAGAAAACAAATCAATTGATACTTAAAGAATCGTAAATGATGAAAGTCGTGACACTAACAACCCACATGTGTGAAACGAACAAAGAGGTATGAATTTCGATTTTAGTAACAGTAACATCACAACTTCTACAAAAATCAAGGAGATAAAAAATGATTGAAAATTTAATTGATACAGAGAAAGTTTGAATTGAAAAACTAACCAATAGGAAAATGAGATGTCACCAATTTGGAGCAGAACCAAAGCGTATGCATGATGCACCTGGTGGAAAATTAAGAACACAAATCCTCAAATATAAAAAACCCATCAAACTAATTAAAAAGTTACTATCATATTTTGTAACAAACAAAAATAATTTCCAAGTTCCAATCATAATCAATATTTGAAACCTAAAAAATTATTACTAGAAACCTAAAAAACAACTAGAATCACTGATTACCAAGTTAGAGAGAGAGAGTGTGTGTGTGTGTGTGTATGTGTGTGTGTGTGTGAGTGAGTGAGTGAGAGATCAGGAACGGTGGAGGCTTACTCAGGCTGTGATGATGAATATGAAGATGAACATCATTAAAGACAACGTAAACAGTAGGATCACCATCGACAACAATCATCGCTATTGCTTCCCTAGCCTCTGTTGTCTTCCTATTTGAGAATCACACACACGAAAGGGGCATAGTTTCCCTCCTAGGCTGTGATACCATCATCTCCAGTGAAGGTACAAGCACCGGGAAAGCAGGGGGAGTCGTTGCAATCGAGATTAGCCGAATAGGGTTTTTGAGATATAACATTGTGGCATTTTAGTTTTAAGCACGGTGGTATTTAAGTGGTAACTGACCCATTGTATTAAGGATTTTCCATATATATCTTCAATTATTTTTGGTTATAATATAAAGTTACGAAAATACCCTTATTTATTTTTATTAAAGAATTAATATTTCTTAAAATCTGATTGGTTCCTACGTCTACACAATAGATGTACATCTACATATTAACCTACCCCTCACTCACTCTCTCTCTCTCTCTCTCTCTCTCTATATATATATATATATATATATATATATATATATATATATATATATATATATATATATATACACACACACTGAGGTTCAATAGAGAACCATTATTAAACATGGAAGCAATGAACCAATTTTTTTTCAATTTTTCGAGCTTATTTTTTATCAATAAAAAAACAAAAAATACAGAACTTTATAACTTTTTATCCTTTTTCCAATGATATCAAATTCGATAAAAAAAATTTCTTTTTTTCGTCAAATTCACATTGTGAATCTGTGCAAATTCACAATGTGAATCTGAATTCACACCAGGAATCCAAAAAATATATAATTTATTTTTTAGCATTTACAATGTGAAGTTATAAATTTAGATATTTTTAGTTTTTTTTCGATAAAGAATAAACTCTAAAATTTGAAAAAATATTTGGTTCTTTGGAGAACTATTTATAATAATTTTCTATTGAACTTTTCCATATATATATATATATATATATATATATATATATATATATATATATATATATATTAATAAATAAAAATAACTTTGTGCCACATGGGGTTACCTATGGAACTAATAATCTAAAATCATGAATTTGGGAGGGATTAATAATGTATTATGACGGATAATTGTGAGGGATTAGAGAGAGATCTAACTGGTCACTATTAAGGTATATGTCATTAATACAATAAATCAGAGGATTTAGAACTTTTTGCGACATATATTTTGTTGCTAGGTTTTCTAACTAACGGCAATCTGTCGTTGAATCCCCCGCAAAAGAATTTGCCATGCTTTATTGGCTATGGAGTATTTCCATCGTTGATCCGTCACAAACCAAATAGTAACGAAATATCGACGAAATTGTTTGTTGTTGACAGTCCTATTTCTAGTAGTAATAATGTTAAGAAAATATTTCTATGGTATAAACACATTAAAGTGTTAAATTTACAAACGAAATATGTTGTTTTTTTTTATTTTCTACTGAATAATATGACATTATATTTATGTTCTTATTGAATCGTCTTTGGCTTTGCAAAAAACTTTTTGAACTTAAAATTTGTTTTGTTTTTTGTATTTTCTTTTTGTTGAAATATAATGTTTAGTTAAAACACGAAATCTGATGTTATTTGTGAAGTTTTTGAAACTTGAATATGTTGAATTTGCTATAGTTGATGAAAATTTTTACTTGTTGACTTTACTTGCTTGAAAGCTTGTAGTTGCTGAAAATATTTATACTTGTAGGTTATATTTGTTTGAAATATGAATTTGGTGTTCTTGATAAATTTTATTTTGATGTTATTCAATGAATTTTAAATGTTAGGTATTTTATTTGATGTTAAGATGTTACGTAATAGATGTTGTTGATTTTCTTTGATGAATGTTATTTTAATATTGTTTCAGTGAAGTTGTTTTTATGTGTTTTAGATGTTGTTTTGTGGTTATAACGATTTCGGTCAAATTTGAACTTGTTTTTTTTATGTATTTGATGTTGTTTTTGGTTATGTGAAGTTGTTTGTATTTTTAAACTATTTTCATTACTTTTATTAGTGTTTTTTTAATATAAGATGTTGTTTTTTTATTTATGATGTTTTTGTCCATTTTGTTGCTATTTTTGGTATATTTGATGTTGTTTTGGTCACTTTTATTGTTGTTTAGTATATTTGATTTGTTGGATTCCAAATTTTGAAGGTGTTTTAGGGAATCGAACGATGAAATTTTAGCTTTCATTTTACATTCTTCCTATTGGTTAATGTTGGCATCAAGAAGAATCGAAGGCTTAAAGAGAACAAGTCATTGACATGCCATGCATATACACAAGGATGTTGCATGAGTCTTCTACGGAATGAAGGGGTGAGCAAAACTGAACACGAAAACCGAAAAACCAACAAAAACTGACAAAACTTAAACAGAAAAATGAAAACTGAAGCATAAACGACGGTTTGGGTTTAGACTTTTCAAAAACCAAAACTTTCGGTTAGGGTTCCAATTTTTGATTTGGTAAAACCAAAATAAACCATACCGAACCAATTATACATAATGTTTAAAAAATATATTTTTTATATACATAAAACAAAACTGCAAAATTGGTCCTTGTGGTTTCGTAAAAACAATGGATAAT